CCGCTCAGGCAGCCGTCTCGCACATCTCCGACCGCGACACAACAACCGGCACCACCCCCGCCTCTCCTGACTCCAGCAATGAGAAGCAGGAGTACACCTGTCCTCACTGCGACCGCACCTTCACCTCACACATCGGCCTGGTCGGTCACTTGCGAATCCATCGCACAGAGATTGGCGAATCAGTGCCTGAAGCACCAACCTACACCCACCGCACTCGCCTCCACTGCCCACACTGCCCTCGCACCTTCACGCATCGCATGGGTCTATTCGGCCACATGCGCATCCACGACGACCTTCGGTAGACAACCGCTGGTTACACCACATATCCACACACTCCCTACCCTCCTCCACCATCACCAACACACATCAACACTTACCCACCGCATGCACCAACTGCCACCTTCCACGCAAGTGGGAAGTGTGCATCTCGTTTCGGTTCCCACGCGGCTTCGGTTGTACGGGTGATTTGAGTCCGAGACTATCCCGACACTTCAAGTGTCGTGGATAGGAAGGTTGCTGATTGACGCCCGTTCTCGGTTCACACAGTTCGTCGCGTTGTGTGTGTGTGCTGTGTGGAGTGGCGGACTTGTGGGCTGGGAACGGGCTGAAGCAGCACCTTCCACGGCCCTCTCACGCAAGTGAGAGACACGCCGTTCAACCCCCGTTGTGTGAAATCCTGGTGTTTGTGTGTGTATGGGGGGCCAGGTCGTGCTGTGGCGCGCGCAGTCACGGTCAGTCGACCGTGGCAGCCACTGCGCCCATCCACCACTCCAGTCTACTGACTGGCTCGGACAGTGGCTGGGGTGTGGGAATGGGAAGGGAGAGTGAGGTCGACGACTCAGCGCACTTTTTCCTCACTATAATCAATCTGACGCGCTTGGAGCTATCACGGTGCGCTAAAAGCCGTGGCTTGGAAGGTTGCCAACTGACGGGGTACCTTGGACCTCCTCTATAACGGGAGGCGGTCTGAGAGTCAGGCTGCAATGGCTCCTTTTTAATGTGGCCTTTATGGCATTCCCACCACAGTGTGGGATCCGAGCCAGGCGTTGGCGGCACGCCTAGGTGCGGCTTCGGCCGTGCCATCCTCCAAATCTCTGTTGTGTTGGTTGAAATCCTGGTTATTGTTGTGTGGACCAGGGGGTGTGGTGGAACGCCAAGGTGAGGATCCGTCCGAGCCATCCACCTGCGGCCTCCCTCGTCTCCGGTCTTCTTGACTCTGTCTTGACACCGGGCTCGGGCGAGGGAGGTGGAGAGAGTGTAGGTAGATGCTACGCAAGTCTACTGGCACTATAAACCCCTGCGCAAGTCACCGTCCCTGCTCCAACCTGCTGTGGGGCACACGGTGGACATCATCGAAATCGATGGTCGAACTGTCAGGTGGTCTTGATGACATACGTAGCCTGGGCATTCAACCTGTGGGGTGTCTACAATCTCCCGATAATTGGCGAAGTTTTGAGGTGCCGTTTTTTAAATATTCATGAGGAGGGGCTACGGGGCAGAAGAATGAAACTCCGAGCCGACAGCATAAAGTCCCCATCACTCATGTGACTAAGGCGTGCAAATATAGGCAGTAAGTTGCAGACAAGTGTCTGAAGTTTAATTAAAACCACTTTTCCTACCATCGAATGCCGTTTAAGGCCGCAGGACATTTATTTAACTAGAAATGGTTGTCTAGGCGCGAAAACGGAATTAGTTGAGATTACACTTTCATAAGCTCGCACGAGAATGACTTACTGGTCCTTCAGCTCTAGTTTTTGTGTTTACAAGTGCTGCTACGATGAAAGCATCTGCTACGCTGAATCGCGTTCCCAATTTCAGCCGACAGGGTAGCGAAACCGTTGATTTAGGATGGAGCAATTAACTTAATGCTCAATGAGCAAAGCGGTTGGGTTGGAAACCTCGAATATCCAAACCTGAGGTTGGGGTACAGACGGCTGACAACGGATAATGGGCCAGAAATAGCCATCCCGGTCTCTCTATTTTACCTGTCGATTTTTCTTCCATAATTATCAAACTTTCGGATGAATTACTGTGCACTGGTCCCCTGTAAATCCGCTTGGAAGACCTGTCACTTTCGCTTTCACTTAACCGCAATGTCCACTTTGTAGCGGGTCAGTTCACGATCGGCCAGACCTGTCCTCAATTCCGGTCGGTTTGCTACTTTATTGTCTAGAAGTGAACGAAAATTCCCGGCTAATTCTAGCAGCCTGTAGGAGGGATGGGGGTAGAGACGGGAATGGTTGTTCCTCGTATTGTTTCGATCGCGTGTTTTG